AAAAAAAAAAAAAAAAAAAAAAAAAAAAAAAAAAAAAAAAAAAAAAAAAAAAAAAAAAGAAAAGAAAATAAAAACCACGTCCGCTCTGCTTTGTGTTTCAGACGAAAAAGAACAACCCGAACCACATAAAACGGCCGATGAACGCGTTCATGGTGTGGTCCCAGATCGAGCGCAGGAAAATCTGCGAGGTCCAGCCGGACATGCACAACGCCGAGATAAGCAAGAGGCTCGGCCGGCGCTGGAAGACGCTCGACGAAGCCGAGCGCCGGCCCTTCATCGAGGAGGCCGAGAGGCTCCGCCAGCTCCACATGATGGAGTACCCGGACTACAAATACCGGCCCCGGAAAAAAACCACCAAACCCGCCCCAACCCCCAAGACCAAGGACTCCAAAAAGACCAAAAAGTCGTCCGGCTCGCCCCTGTCGTCGTCGTCCTCGCTCTCGAGCGCCCTGTCTTCCGCGAGCTCCAGCTCACAGTCGATCTCCAATCCCTGCAAGCCCCGCAACGACACCAACAACAACACCAGAACCCAACACCACCACACGTCCGTCAAGAGGCTCCAGTCCCTACCGACCACGAGTCCCGTGTCCAAGCTCAAAGTTAGACTAGCCCTCGACAAGAGGCCAACGTTGCACACCACCACCACCACCACCACCACCACAACGACGATTATGCAGGAACAACAGCAGCAGCAGCAGCAGCAGCAGCAGCATTACACGCCAACGCCGCCGATCGCGAGCGCCAAGGTCCCGAGCAGTCCGTCCTGCGACACGCCCGACTCGCCCGAATCGGCGAGTTTCTACGACGACCATCAGTTTATCGACTGCCCGACGCAGATGGCCATGCACCAGCACCACCAGCACCACCACCATCAGCAGCAGCACCATCAGCAATTGGAGCTCATGAAAGCCGAGACGATGGATTTCGTGGGTACGGATTTCGCGGCGAACGACAGGCTGTTGTCCTCGGTGAGGTCGTACGTGCCGGACATGAGCAGCTTGACGAGGGGCTTCCAGCAGCGCCAAGCTTGCCACCCCGACGACGTGTTCGTCAAGGAGGAACCCCTCGACATTGCCAACAACAACATGATGGTCACAAGCACGACGAACAACAACAACAACAACAACAACAACAACCATCACCAGCACAACAACAACAACAACAACAACCACGTGAAGCTCGAGGAGTCGTCGAGCAACAACACGTTCACGGACATTGACGCGATAGCCCTGACGGACCTGCTGCAGATCCAGCCGTGCGACTTCAAGCTCGACCTTGACATGGAGACCATAGCCACGGACCTCGACGGGTACGACGACCGGGCGAGCGGTGGCCCGGGGATCAGTCACTTCGAGTTCACCTGCAATCCCGACGTGACGGACATGTTCTCCGACATCGGGGTGAACAACGAGTGGACAAGCTTCTGAGACGAGGGGAGCGCCGGGGGCGAGGGCTTGCTCGGGCCGAGTCGCGTCAACGGTGACCTCGAGCTGTTTGGCGAGCAAGCGGTCGCCCTTTGTGAGGTCTCGGAGGAGGTTGAGGACGTGGAGGTGACGAGGAGGAGGAGGAGGAAGAGGAGGAGGCGTAGGAGGCGCTCGGAGGTACCGGCGGTGTAGTCGCCCGGTTGCCGAGGGATAATCAATAACTTGTGTTTGTGTTCATTATTAACAAAAAACAAAAAAACAAAAAAAAACAAAACAAAACAAAAAAGAAACATAACGAAAACGTGATCTCTGCATAAATATTTTCACGCGTGCGCGCGTGACGTTCTTCTTGTCGCGCCCGAAATTGGATTGTCGAGGCGCGGGCTCAATACAATTAGTAGATCTTTCGCTCTTCGTTTTCTCTCCTTTTATTTTTTTTTTTACTTTCTTCAACTTGTTTTCATCTTTTATTCGTATTTTATATATTTGTACACGTACACGCGTTTATCGAGGATTTCAGAGAATTGAGCAGCAACAGCAAGATATCGCTCGCTCGACTCTTGTGACTGTAAAAATGCATGCGTGTATACATTATACACGTGGTGTGCGCGTCGACGCGCGCGTGCGTTAACATTTTTATCATTATTATTATTATTATTATTATTATTTTTTACGATTATTACAAAAGGGAGATGATGGAGGTGGAGAAAAAGTAAAAATCCATTTTGCTGTATGTGCCGGTATCACGCGATTGACTTTATATACATATATATAATACACATTTGTTGTTTTGAGCAGAAAAAAAGATATTTATACACCAACGCGTGTGAGGCGATATATATATAAATCGTTTCTTCTTTTGTATAAACGTACTGTATAGCATATACTAGAAGCGTAAGGACTTTTTTGTACGTGTTTGCCGCGCGAACGCGGAGGAGATTGTTTGCCGATCGATCGACCGAACGCGCGGACTCGCGATCGCGATCGGAACCGCGTGGACGAGCTCGTGAGCCGAAGGCTTGATTTTTTACATTATTATTTTCGACGCTTGCAAACTCTCGTCCCTCTCCGATCGCGAGCGCGACTTGGCTCCATGTTTTTCCACGACAATTGCCACGTAGTTGTATACTGTACAGATTTTGCGCGGAACGAGCCAATCGTTTTTTCTTTTTCGTGCTTACTCGCAAACTGCCCTCAAATCAATGATTTCCCTGATACCTGGTTCCAACCAAAAAAATCTTTTTTTTTTTTTTTTTAATTTAGTTTTTGTATTGTCGCGTATCGAAAAAGGAAAGAAAAAACAGAATCGGACCTGGAAATCGTTGGTTTGGCGATCGCGAACGATCGGCTTGATTCCCCCTTTTCAGAAACCAATCGATGTATAAACAAAAAAAGAAAAATAACAGGAGATCAGAGAAAAAAAGCAAACTAGCGATTTTTTTGGATATTTTTAGACGCACAGACACACGTTCACTGGATACGCAGAGCCAAGCGTTCCGATCGATGGTGTAATTATTGTGTAAGAGAAGTAGCCGTCGCGGCTGACATTAACTGTATAGACTTTTTTATTGTTTTTGTTTTCGTCTTTATTCGTATGAGCATATATATATATATATATATTATGAAAGATAAAAAAAATGCAAAGTATATATTGTATATGTATATTATAAATACTAAGAGTGCGAGGCGCCTGGCTCTTTAGCGGCGCCGTAGGTTTTTTTTGTATACATAAGTAGTTGAGAGAAGAGGCAACACTGAGGCGACACTTTTAGACACCTTTTTTTTTTTTTTAATCGAACACTTTGGATGTATACGTATATCTGTTATACGCAGAAAAAAAATCACACATAAATACAGCAAGAAAAAGATGTAGAGAGAGAGAGAGAGAGCGTGTTTTTCCGGATTTCGTTGTTTTGCGAAAATACGAGCGACTTCCGCCTTTTGCGAACTTTGTATCGAACCTTGATCTCATATGTTTCTTTTTATTTTACTATCATACGTTTTACTTACTTTTTAAACTATAATTATTATTATTATATGGTCGC